CCCCGTCCCCCCCCCCCCCCTCCGCACCAAGAGGAATTCATATGTTTGAGCTTCGAAGGAATTTCTCATAGCAAGAGTACTTGGTGAGAATGTTTGGCTAAGTTTAAAATGTTTACGTATAAGAAACAAGTAGTTTTAAAGGAATTTTTTTACTGTTTATAGCTTGGAAATAAGCAAGTTATTTATTTTGATGGTAAGGTAATGTTCAGAGTTACTTTCTTTACTTGAGAGTAAGATATCAAAACATGTCTGGAAACAAAAGGTTACATAAAAGTAACTTATGAAGTTTAGCCAAATACACTGGATCTCTCCTCACTTGTGAAAGGATGATCATGTTGGTTTATGGCTTAAAAAGTACTTTTGCCATTCATGTCAATTGCTGTGTGTTGATGTGGAAAAGATCTCAAAGGTTTGAATGTAACTTCATGTAATCACCGTTTGTGTACTTGTAGCCATGTTTAGTATGCAGTATCGGACAAGACTTAACAGTAATGAACGAGATTTTATCTTCTTCATCTTAAATACTCCCACTACCATTCAATGCTCCCTATCAAATAATGCATAATTGCACTATGAATATTCAGCTGACTGATTTGCTCAATAAATTTGTTATTTCAATTTTTTGCAGAAAGGAGAATTGCTCAATCCCTTCTCTCCACTTAGATGCCGTAGGAAAGAAAGTTGTACAGCTAACTGAGGCTAGTTTGAGCTACCTCGCTTCCTTCCACTTCTGCCAGGCGTTATGCTCTGGCTAATACCCTATCTATGAGGAAGGCATTAGAGGATTTGCAAATAAATTCGTTACCTGTTCTACGTACTGCTCATTGTATAGTTTTAAGTTTATACATAGATTCTAGTAAGCTGAGGCTAGAAGGTTAAATATTCCTGATGCCTGTGCAGTTTTAAGATGACAATACAAGTTCGAAGGGTGTAAAAATGGCGAAAGGTGAGGTAGTTTACATTGCGACATAACTGTACAAATTATGGCGTGGTGAGTAGGTTTATCGTCTAGTACATATTGGGTTATTTTTAAATTGTCCTTTCTTGTTCATAATTTTATTTTCTAGTTTACTGTTCCAGTTTTCCATGGGAGTTCCAATAAAATTCAACAATCGACCTCACTCTTCTAAGCAAAAAGGGGCTGTTAAATAAAACTTAATGGAAGCTTCTTAACCCATGGTTTCAGAGGAATTCATTTGTTTTGTACTAATTAATTTTGGAATTTGGGGTATTTGATCGGAAACTTGAACAAATTCTTGAAATAGAGTTTGTGTGACCTGTAAACAATGGTGTCTTTGGATCAGCTGGCTCGTTAAATAAACTGAAGGAATGTGATTGGAAGTATGTTTGGTTCGCAGTATTGGACCGTACAGTAGACATGGTTTTAACTTGCCACCAATTTCTAATGGAACTCATTGCCCATAATTGAAACATAGGAAGAGTGAAGGCAGTCAGGTTCAAGGTGCCAAAATCGGCGAGGTAATTAAAATATTCGAGAAAGAGTGGTTGTCAATTATTAGTTGCTTCATCTCATGGAGAAAATCAAACAATAAAGCAAATGGAGCGATGGCTGACACCAAATTTACACAGAGAGAAGGTGAAGTTTTTAGTCATAGAAGCTAGAGGGAAATAACCTGATCCTCTTTCATGGAGATCTCAAAGGAGGGCTCCCTACCAGTAGTATTGACATACAATTTTATCAAAAGATCTCTAATGACGGTTCCCTGCTAAAACTCGTATTTAGATGCAATTATATCATAAACTATTGGAGGAAAAATGTTGGGAAAAATTCGTCTACTAGTAATGCGAAATTTTTGTTCCCTCTTTTGTGTGACAAAATGGAATATCGACAAAGCGTCCACCATATCACCAATAATTGGATTATAAGACTCACAATAACATCAAAGAAAAAAAACTTGAGGCGCTCAATCCCTCACTATTTTTCTTTCTACACAAAGTAGAGTTTTCGCACAATTCTATCTAATCTTCTCTATTAGAGGCTCTCCAAATTTTTTGTTACAAGTATGACAAGCTCTCACTTTGTTTATAAGCAAATGTTGGATGGAAGAAGACAAATTGAACTCAACTTCATTTTCTTGTCAAACTTGTCCATTAGTTGAGAAAGAAGACTTGAACTTTACTTCCTTTGCTTGTCAAACTTTTCCATTGATTGAGGATGCAAAATTTGTTTTCTCTTCCTTGAAAATTTGATAACATTTGTAGTAAAACTGGTTTTGTCCACCTTAGATGTGGCGGACTACACAACAAAAAATACTTTGAAGATGGACCCATTACCAAAATAATAGTTAGCAATTTTTCATGGTATCAAGCTAGGCATTCAGAACCGAAGAGTATCCTACACATTCTAGTGCTCCAATAGTTCTAAATGACTTTATGTTATACTTCCACAAATTATGGGTAATCGAGTACAAAAACATATTTCTCCATAACAGTCTCGAAATTGCTATTTCCACAAAGGCACAAACAATTAAGAAGATTTCAGGTTCGATCTCTCAGTCACAGTGGACAACATGTTGTGACGTCCACAGTTGACATTGTAACTTTTGCCAACCGGGGACAGTAGATAAAGATCTATTTATTTCATTGTTGATGTTAAAATTTGTAAGAATTAATCTCCAGTCAACTTTAGGAAAAATGGCAATCTCCCCTTATTATGAAAAATACTACAATTGTATATCGAGAAGGCATAATTATGTGGTGCATTTGTATGAAAGTTCACCCTCTTTCAAGAAAACCATTTCTCTACTATTTATACATGACCATAGTCGAAATTATATCAAATCAATCAAATCAGCTACAAGATCGAACTCGGAAGTTTAGTTGCAGAATTCTTTTGTGATTGGTTGACGAAGTCGATTGTCATGTGCCAATATTTTCTTAGGTAATGATGGCCTGCAAAAGGTTGGAGATCCGGGACTTTGGATTGGTGGTTTTAGGTGTTGATGACGTCATCCTTTACAAGTGTACATGATTGAGAAGATGATATGACAAGAATAATCATTATATCCCTTAAAATTATGGCGGTAATATACCAATTTGAACTGTGGCCGAGCTCACATCAGCCTAAAGTGGGGCCTGCGAATGACTCTTATGAGACCGGAAGTCGGTGGTCAACATTCATAAGTACTTCAAAAGAAATGTACAACTGATAAAGCTGCTGCCATGCAATTTCACCATTGCTAAAAACCAACTAAATTAATGATCATGGTACCCTATAATCCTTTTTACCAGAATTGTAAAAGGCTGTGGCAAGCTTACATCAAAACGTGCATTTCTTTACTCTGAGGAGGAGGAGGAGTCATCCTCAAATTCTTCAATCTTTTGCCCGAAACCTCTGGGTCCAGCTTTAATTTTACCATTTTTGCCGCTCTTCTTTTTCCTAACATAAAAATAAAATTTACCCCAATTGTAAGAATGGCTAAATCGATGAAAGCAATGAAAAGAAGAGCCTATATTACTGTAGAAACACCATCATCACTTGTGGAGACCACTTCCTGCAAATTCTCTTCTGGGGTGACTTCTGATAGCAAATAATTTACATTTACAGCAGAAAATCTCCAATTTCTTATGGGTTTTAGATATGCGGCACTCGCCGAATTCCGATAATTCAAAGTTCTTATTGAGATTTGAGTGAATGACGGAGAAAGTGAATGGTGGGTATTTTGATAAAATGACTATTAGATTTACCCTAAAGAACCAAGGAGAGAGCTTGAGGAGCATCATATTCTTTCAATGTTTACATTTGAATTCATAATTTTTTCCTATTTTTTTATCAATCCACTTTTCAATAAATAAATAAATTATTCTAAAGAAATTACATCAAACATGCCATTACGCTCATCTACTGTTTAAGTCAGAGTGAAACTTGACTGCTGGGAAAATATGTTTTAGAAACTTTGTAGGAGGAACAATGAGATCACAAACTTCTTCTAGAATATTAATATTAATAAATTCATGCTTAAAGAGTAGCTGAACCCACAAAATAAAATATCTTAAAATAATATTCTTAATAATGGTGATATGTATAAATTTGTGGTTTTTTTAGGAAACATTGTAACATTTTTCAAGATTTTAATATGTGCAACTTCATGAAACATAATCTTATCACGATATCTATGTATTCTTACAAAATTCGATATAAAATACCATCAAAAAGTTTTTTTTAAAAAAGTTTTTTGAAAAATGAACTTACATAAATTTGATAGATCTATAAAATCTTTGTAGCCCAAATTCGACATGTCCTGGTATTTAAGATTTGATTCCTGCTTCCTCGTTAGACCCTTTCGTATTCTTCAAAAACAACTACTAATGTGTGTGGACACCAATTTCGATTCTAGCCTAATCAGAGAAGAAAGCACACAACTTTTGTGTACTATATATATATATATATATATATATATATATATATATACTTTGTTTTTTAAGTAACTTTTTTTATCATTAATTTATGTAATATTGGATCACCGTTATATTATTCAATAAAGTTGAAATATGTTTTTATATATTGAACAATGTAACAATGATCCTAAGTAAATAATATTATTTTTTAATAAATGGCAACTTAATGATTTTTGAACGAAAACCATGAAGAATGATTAATTCTAGCTAATTATTCAAATATTTGTTGGCATGTCGTACTCGTAAAAGACTTACAGCTAAATTTATTGAACATATGTTTAAATATCAAACTAGAATCAAAATTTTTTTAACTCCAATATTAGGGTTATAATTCCATACTGCCAAATATAACCTATTATAAAAGTAAAATTTTCCTAACGAAGGGTAAAATTAGAAAAAAAATAAAAATTGGGGCAAATTGTGCAATTAAGAAAAATTACCACTTTCATCATAATAGAGAGAGGGTCATTTTGGTCCATTGACCTTCCTAGGGTTTTGGTTTGAACTCTAATAAAGCTATCAGAAGTGGCCGCAAACCCTATTCTTCTCTCTCAGCAGATCCATCAATATTCAGCATCCGTCTCTTCCGGTACACTATCTTTACGATTTCTCTTTTCACATTATGTATTTATATTATATATATTCTATAAGTATTTGTAATTATTCATTTTGCATTTGTATCTTTAGTTGCAGTAGTATACGAACAATTATTGTTAGAGAATTACAGGTTTTGAATTGTGAAGGGGGTTTCATTTGAAATGTTCTGAAGAAGTTATTTTTCTTTAAAAAAAAATTAATATTGGTGTGATATGAGAAAATATGTTATTTTCTCTGAATTTCTGTGAGCAGACTGACGTAGAGTTGAAATAAATCAATTATATTAGGCCTCTAGAAATAAGGATTTGAAGATTAAATACTGTCAACCAGTTTGGGATTTTTTGTGGGTGTACATTAGATCCTTATCATTTATTTTTAAAATCACAATTGAAACATCAAATTATAATATTTTAATTTTAAGTCAAAGAGAATATGCTTAATTTTGGAATTTCTGTGGAGAGACATCTGTTGGAGATATCCAGTCAGTTAATTGGATTGTTTTGGGTCCAGGTGCTTGACCTTTGTTTGTAGTTGAACAATTTGCCAAGATGCAGAACGAGGAGGGACAAAATATGGATCTCTACATTCCCAGAAAGTGGTGTGTATCTATTCTGCTGATGCTATTATTAGGTCTTTTTATGCATTTCCCTTGCTGTTTTATGTTATAAAAGTGAAATTTGTGAGTTGCATGATGTTTGATATTATGAGAAATTTTTTTGGCTTTTGTGCAGTTCTGCCACAAACAGGCTGATCACGTCCAAAGATCATGCATCTGTCCAGATTAACGTTGGGCATTTGGATGAGACTGGCAGATACACTGGCCAATTCTCCACCTTTGCCCTCTGTGGATTCGTCCGTGCCCAGGTTTTTTTTCTTGGTTTCCTTTTGCTTTTATGATTTAAATGCATTTGAAATCTGACGCTGCACCTTTCTCGTGGTTTGTTCTGAATCCTGCTGCCGTAGCCTATATTGATGCTAGAGAAACCGTTGATTTTGACATGAAAGAGGAGGAAAGAACAATCTAAAACAAAATTGTAACATCTCGCTCAATCACTATTCTTCACGTGCGTTCGTATACCGGACCTTGCGCTTTCACCACTATTTGTATGTTTACCAAAAATACTTCTAGAAACGTAACTGTCACTACTATCAATTATGATGGACGTATCCATATAGATTTGAGAATCACTTGATAAGGTGCTTTTGCTGTACAGCCATTGCAACTCGTACACACCCATCAGAGAATGCAATCCGATCCTATAGCTCCTAAAACACCTTAAAAGTTAAAACTAACATATGGAAGCAATCTTTTTTACATGCCTACACTTGAATATGTCTGCTTTACGCGAGTTTTTATTTGTTTGTACCATTTTATTTTCTTTGCGGATGAATTTCTATCTGTATGCCGTCGAATAATGTACCTGTTAACATATATAATGAGACACTGAGTGGGAAACCTTTTTTGCAGGGCGATGCTGACGGTGCTCTCGATAGGCTCTGGCAGAAAAAGAAAGTTGAAGTCCGACAGCAGTGATGCGTTTTGGCTTCTGTTCTCAAGCAGTTCAATTTGTTTGCCCCTAGGCTTTCTTTCTGGAGCTTTTTTATAGTTCACTTTTAGGATCAATTTGTTGAAGCTTTATGTATTGTAAGGCGTGCTAGAATTGAAAACTAACGTTCATCGAAACTTTTTGGAGATAATGTGCCTAATTCAGCTGCTTTTGCAATCAATACGATTTTTGAGCTTAATATTCTTCAAGGTAACTGTGTCCTGGTAAAGTGGATTTGTTGAGCTGCAGCCGGCTTGATTTTGCTACGTTACATGATGGTTTACATAATAATTTGCAAACACATTATGTGGTGAGATATAATTGGATTGGAATCATCTCAACCAAAAAAAAAAAAAATAAATAAAAAATCTACATTTTTTTGGACACCTCATCTTTATGTGACTATATATATAATTTCATTCTGTATAACTAGCATTTTTCCAGTCGTATAATTTATTTTGTAGATATTCATAATACGATTTTCTTTTGAGTCTTTTAGAGTTGCATTTGATGAAATCCCACTTGCGCACAAACATCTAATTCACAAAATCAAGAAGCACAGAAAGAACCCTAATTCACAGAAACAAGAAGCAGAGGAAAAACGAAAGAACCTAGACATCAAATAGAAATTCAAGACACAAAAGCGGTAATAAAAAAAGAAAACTCTTAACCGAAGATAGAAAGAAAATTGAAAAAGAGCCCTAGTTAATGCCAGATTCTGAATGAGATTTTGCCTTGCCTATTGTTGATTTTGCTCAATCAATGCCTCTTCGGTTCCATTTTTCAGTGCTTGGATGGGTTTTGGACTAGACGGGATTTGAGCCTATTTATTTTCTATGAGGCCCCCTGATTTTTGAAGTCCAATGCAGTGGTCTAGTTTGCCTTTGACCAAGGCCGGTTCTGCTCTCAAGTCTCAACCAAACCTCATTGTTTTGAATAAGGAATAAATATCACATTAAGTCCCGATTTTTTAGTATCCCTGCACTCTTCACTGTTCGTCTCAAAGATTGCAAATCACAAATTGTAGTCCTCAATGTTTAGTGTCATTACTGCTTATGACAAAAAAAATGACGTGGTACTTTTAAAACAAAATGTCTGTTATATTTGCTGAAGTTTAAGTATGAGAGATTTTTGACAGTTCAACCATTCTTGTTAGGCCTTTATCCCTTTATATATATATGCTATCGGATACTAGCCCCCCAACTCTTATCATATCAAGCTAAAATTTTCAACCTTGATTTGTGTACCACCACCCATTCTTGAAGGTATTTAATTGGCTTGGAATTCGGTTGTGATAGGATCTACATAATACTTAGGCTCTAAGTTTGTGCCTTCAACCAACATGACTTTCTTTTGATTAGCTAATGGGAGGGGATAGTATTGTCATCCAGGAGAAAACCCTTTCAATCATGTCATGGTGATATTTTCAAATGACATCTCCATGATCCGATCAATAGAGATTTGGTTTTGGATCTATCTACTGATACTACCAAAAATCGTACCTGCAGATTTTTCGAGTTTGATGATTTGGATTGAGCACGATCGTAGCCTTCCGGTACCTGAAATAAAGGCAACGAGATATGTTCTCGTCGTCCCTCCGATACTTAAGTTAGAAAGAGAATTATATGCGTGAGGATATAAATTGGAGAATAATGAAAAACTTACCTGAATAATGGCTCAATGTTCTGTATTTATAGTAGTAAGTGACATTCTCCTAGTGGGACTCAACTAGCTGGATGTCCTTATCTGTTGGGTTCTTGTACAGTTAAGGAGTTGGTTAAATACCATAATTATATGTGGGATAGAATCCTTGCGGGAGTCAAATATATGGTTGAGTTAGAGTCCTAATTGCATAGGAATTCTAAAGGGTCAACAATCGTAGGTTGTGAGGGGGAGCATATGCTCGAGGACTGCTTATGCTCGAGGACAAGTATCGCAATATGTAAAGCAGCCAGACAGGGAGTGCTCGAGCATGATAGCCCGGGGAGACTATGCTTGAGCACTCCATATGTGGAATTGCAAGTTCAGCGAAAATTGGTCGTCAGGATAATTAGTGATCGGGTTGCAGGGAATGTCAGTATCATTGCCCCCGTGCACATATGCTCGAAGCGTTCACTCGAGGATATGATGCAAAGAGGCTCGAAGGCGACTAATGTGCAAAAGCTCGAGCTTTTGAAGACGAGTGAGCGAAGCTGGCGTGGTGATGACATCAGCCCTAAACGAGTAAGGCGGTGGAAGGGTTGAGCCCTTGGATGGTAGACACGTGGCGTGATCGGATGGTTGTGCCAGCAACTTTTGGGCTCCCACTCAGGTCTCCTATAAATACTCCTTTCGCTATTCATTTTTTACTTTTTCACTCAGTAAATTTTTCTCGCAATTGTCGGTATTAGGTAAGAGCTTGAGAACTTAAGTTGTTTATTTAGAAAGGTCTTAACTTGGAATAGGATGCCGAGTAGTGAAGGAGACACATCGTCTTCTGGGTCTAGTTCTACACCCGAGGACTTAGGACAGTCCATAGTGCCAATGGCAATACCTATTAGTGCTCAGCCTCGAGCTCAGGATAATCCGACTTCACTTAGGTTCCCAGATCAACCCTGTAGGTTTAAAGGAACACTTAGCGATATCGACAGCTAGGGAATATGGCCTTATGCTGGGTTGTGATATAAGGCATCCCGAGGATGGGGATAGGATGGCTATAGCTCGGGAAAAAGAGTTCTTGATTTTTAGAGATTCTTTAAAGGGGGGTTTAGGTGGCCCATGCACCCATTCTTTGTCACCATGTTGACCGAGCATAATATGAGCCCCGGGTAGTTAGTGCCGAACGGGTGGAGGATGTTGACCTATTTTTTTGTAGCTTGTAGGTACCTAGGAATTACCCCATACCTAGACTTATGCAGGATGGTGTTCGACCTGAAACAACTTTCCCAATTCTCATGTTTTGCCTACCTTTCATCCCGAGAAGGGTTTAGGATCCCGAGGATGCCTAGTTCGTTAAATGGCTGGAAGGAAAAATGGTTTTACGTCGTGACTCAAGATCTCGACCTACCTATTAGTCCTCAGTGGGTCTTACTAGATACTACGAGATTTTGTGAGGGTCAAGCCTATTTTGAGTCCTTAGAGAGGGATAGGCTGATGTTGGAAAATCTTGAGCCTTTGGTGTACAATATAGATGACGTCCTTGGGATGACATCCTCGATCTCGTGAATGTGAAAGGCGTCGAGGGTAGGATATGCACTTTCAATGTTTTCGTTATTCTACCTATGTTTGTAATGCTCGTGCTCGTGTTAATGTCGGGTGATTTTGTAGAAATGACGTTTGATCCTGCTGCCCTACATCATGCGGTTAACAAGAAGTCCAAAGTCCCCCAGGCTCGGGCTCCCGGCCAGAAGAGGGGACAAAAGAGAGCTCGAGATTCCAGGCTCGAGAAATAAAGGAGTGGCCCTGACGAAATTTCACAGCCAAGGGGAAAATCCCCGGCCATAGAGCGGGAGAGGGTTGAGCGCCCCTCAGGGTACACCTCGGAGCGTCCTTCAATCTCGAGGTCCTATCGAAGTGGTTGATCTCAAGGATGGGGCTCTGCCAACATGCTCTGTCCCATCAGAGGACCAAACCTAAGGCCAATTTTTGCCGAGCATTGTTGACTAATACTGAGGAAGTACTGGCTTTGATGATGGCATGAGGGCCCTCGAGGCCATGACGCTGAAGGTACGTCGATCATGTAATCTGAACTTTATTTGTTCAGGTATTTTTACATCTTTTTTAATCGAGGCTTTATTAAACTTTCGTTCGTCCATTTTTTCCAGACGTTAAGCATTGCTCGAGGTCTATCTTTGAAGGGAAAAGATGAGTCCTCTAAATTGACTGACCTCGAGGACTCCCTAGCGGCTCGTGATAAAAGAATTGCAGACCTTGAGGCCGAGCGCGTTCAGCTGCAGAGGGAGCGTGAGCAAGTGAATAGCGAGCTCATGAAAGCTCGAGAAGAAGTTGGTACCATGAAGGATGAGGCTGAGGAGGTGAAGCTGGAGCTTGAAAATATTTATAGGGATTATGAAGGGAGGTTGGTCCAAGCTCGAGTTGACTAAGTCGAGGAGTTCAAGAAGTTTGACGACTTTAATGAGCTCAAGGGCGAATACGCAATGGGCTCGTACTTTCATGCCTTGAAAGAGGCTTGAGCATTCATTCTCGCGAAGCCAGACGCAACGCCCGAGGACTTGAAGACTATCCCACAGGTGGCTAAGGACCTCACCCTCTCGGAGTCCGAAGAGAACGTTGATGATGAGGAGGTCGACATCGAGGGTGACGATGTCGAGAAAGATCAGCCCAGCCAGAATATCGAGGACTAGACTTCTTGATTATTCATTTTGATCATGACGACACCCGTTTTTTTATTTTGAACAAGTATTTTGCTCGATCTTAGTTAATGTTCTATTTATCGATGTTTTTTCAATGTATGGGGCGTATGGCTGACGACTTGGGCATCTTGATGATCAGGATAAATTTAAATAGCTCGACGTTTAAGATGAGTAATGGATGACTCGACGCTTAAGATGAAATAATAACTTGACGTCTGAATATTAATCTCGACGTTTAAGATGAAACAATAACTTGACGTCTGAATATTAATCTCAACGCCTAAGATGAATTAACTACTCGACGCCTAAGATGAATTAATAACTCGACGCCCAAGATAAATTAATAACTCGACGCCCAAAATGAATTAATATCTCGACGCCTAAGATGAGTTAACAACTCGACGCCCAGATTAATTAAATATCTCGACGCCTAAATGAAGTTTTAGCCTTGACGTACGTATTCACCAACAACAAAGATTTATTTTTGTCATGCTCGACCAATATGACTCTCTCAAGGACTGAATTTCACAATCATTTTCGAAATTGTGTTTAGCTTGAGCATGTATACAAGTTATCTCGAGGACTTAATTTTGTAAAATCATTTTTTGACATTATGCATTGGGCTCGAGCATATTATGCCTGTTTATCCCGAGGACTGAATGACAATGTAATTGTATCGATCGATAGTGTGATTCACGAGGACAGTAATGGCCTTTTTATAAGATCTATCACATCGTTGATCGGGCACTGCGTGCTTGGGAATGTTACTTGTAAGTGTGTTCGTGGCTTAGCTTTTTTGATTGCTTGCTTGGGGCAAGGCTCGACTTGCTTGTGCGGGGCAATGTTTTTTGATTGCT